ACCTTGTCACATAAGATGGGAATGATGATAAGGTACATATATTTGAAGTATAAGGTTGATCCCTTATGAAGTAAAGAAGTTGCAGTAACAAAATTCTAAGTTCAAGGGGAGATAAATCTGAAAATTTGGTGCTAGAGTAATGAACCTTGTCACATAAGATGTAGTTGATGTTAAGGAACAAATATTTGAAGTTTGAAGTTGATACAAATGACAAAGTAATAGTGAAAAGTATTTTACTGCACCAAAATCTGAAATCTGGACGCAGACGCCAGGGCGAGTAGGACAGCTCTCCATATACTTCGTATAGTCGAGCTAAAAATCATACAAGGGGAAACCCCATGTACTATGCACAATTATTTGAGCTGACAAGTCTAAAAAGTTTCATTAAAATTGCATTAGTGCTAAAGAGCAGTATTTCGGACAAACTTTAAAAATAACAAACAAGAGGGTAATGATGGCCCTGAAATCGCTCACCTGTATATAGGCCCCCCGGGGCGGGGCCAATTTTTACCCTGGGACTTTTATTTGAACAAACTTCGTAGAAACCCATTTGAAGATGTTTCATGATAAATATCTAAGTTCTAGCTCTAAGAAGATTTTTTAAGTTTTAACTATACACATATAGGGAAAAACAATGACCCCCCCCCCATCTGGGCGGGCCAATTTTGTCCCCAGGGCTTTAATTTGAACAAACTTGGTAGACACTCACTAGAAGATAATTCATGCTTAATATCTAAATTCTAGCTCTTTGGGTTTTTTAACAGAAGATTTTTTTAGTTTTAACTATATACATATAAGGAAAATCAATGATCCCTGGGACCGGGTAAATTTTAACTCCAGGGCCATTATTTGAGCAAAAATGGTAGACACCCATTAGAAGATGTTTCATGCTAAATATCTTAGCTCTAGCTCTAAAGGTTTTTTAAAAGAAGATTTTTTAAGTTTTTACTATATACATAAAGGGAACAATGACCCCCTGGGGCAAGGCCAATTTTGACCCCAGGGCATTTATTTGAACAAACTTGGTAGACACTGACTAGATGATGTTTCATGCCACATATTTAAGCTCTAGCTCTTACGTTTTTTTTTTAAGAAGAGATTTTAAGTTTTTTCTTTCGGTTGCCATGGCAACCAGAGTTCTGCTTTGAATTGAATTCTTTGAACAAATTTTAAAGTTGATTACCAAAGGAACATTCCTGTGAAGTTTGGATGAAATTGGCTCAGGGGTTTATGAGGAGATGTCGTTTAAAGTAAAAGTTTATGGACGGACACCCACAAAAGCTCACTTTGTGACAGGTGAGCTAAAATAAAAATGTAAGGTAGTCTCAATATTTAAACTGCAAAAAATGACCGATTTACAAACTGATACTACATAGATGTCAGCGAAGGGTGACCATCATCTATAGGCCTATTTATAATATAAAAAACACTGAACAACAATTTGTTGGGCTATGTTAAAGTAATCCACGATTCCAACTTGTTGTCATGTCAGTGTCAAGATAAGTTTAAAACATATTATGTTTTTTTACCAATGGTTTGATAGAATGAAATAAAAAAGTCCGTAAAATGGGGCAAACTGTTCACGCCTAAAATTTAAATTAAATAAGATTATAATAAGGCTACATTAAGGTTTAAACATTGTTAAACCTATAAATCCCCATTTACATCATTGGCAATACTAAATCCCAATACATATGATATTGTTTTATATATCAAATTTAATTTAGTTTCACACTGTTATTTCATTTTGAACATATTGGAATGTTGCGAAATTATCATTGGTTCGAATATTATTGAGATCGAAACGTCGAAAAAATTCTCGGCGTTTCACAACACTTATCGCTACATAAAAACGTTCTATAATCAAAGCCACAACCAGCTTGATTTTGTTAACATACATTTCTTTTAGATTTCAGGTTTTATAACTTTCATATCAACTGATCACTTAAAATTTGTTGACAGATTCTCGGATTCATCAGATAATCATTAATTCAATTTACACTAAGAGACAAATTGAATTTGCCATTTGTAGCAATTAGCTATGCATAAAATAAAGCAATAGTCAAACTGTGTTTTTGTGGAAAATTATTCTGCTGTTAGCTTTGAACAGATTTATAACAATAAATTTGTTTTAAAGAAAATTGTTTTCATTTTGTACATATGCACCGTTTGACCTAATTTAGATTTTCTATCCCAACGTGCAATGGGATCGCAACGCGTAACGTTCGCTGAGATACAAGATACAAGGTCGGTTTACATTAGCTAATAAGCTATTTGCCGACAATAACAAAGGCATACAACATATTTACTAACATATAACAGATCTGAAAGTAAAAACATATAAAACTAGTAGCAACTTTAAGCATGAAATAAAAGTATCAAGTTTAAGAAGAACTTTACAATAAGATGGTAAATTAAGGCATAGTTTGATGACATGCACAGTACATATAGTATTAAAGGTAATAACAGTTTATAAAAGAAATAAATGACTGTAGTAAAGAAATTTATAAGTATGATACATGCAGCAATGTGAAATAAATAATAAAAAATAATGATAATATAAAATTAATAAAATAGTAATAGTTATTAGTTAACATCTAGAATTTACACGTAATTGAAGGTTTCCTAAAAAATAATTAAATAAATAAATAGATAAATTCACCTACTTATAAAAAAAAGTACATAAAAATTTATGATAGAACTAAAACAGCATACAAAAGAAACCAGATAAAGCACATACAGGGTAACAAACAAAGTTAACTAAAATTAAGTTGCATGCACAGTCTAATGGAAGGGAGAATAAGGAGTTTTAATATGAACAAAGCATACAAATCATACAGCAAAGATTCAACTAGCATAAAAATATAGGGTTTAAGGAAAATTTACACACAGAATATAATCAAAGCATCATAGCAAACTAAAAAGGGGCAATATTGACAGATTCTCGGATTCATCAGTTTATCATGAATTCAATTTACAATAAGAGACAATTAAATTGAATTTGCCATTTGTAGATGCACTCGAAAGAGCTTTTATTACAACGTTATTATATAGGCCTCGGCTTATAAACATAATATATATGCACAACAGCTTTTGTCATAGCGGAAACCTGATATTTTACTCTCACGACACTGAACATTGTTTATAACTTGCAGCAGAGACATAGATAACAGAGATAATCAGCTCCTATATACTCCATTGAAATATCACTCATGTCTATCAAAAAGTGAAAAATTAGGCATTTTGTAGAAAATAAAACTTAATGGATGTATGTACATTTGATACTTTAATATTATATACCATTTGAAAGGTATATCTTTAATCTATTGCTGCATGTAAAAATATTGGTTATTTTCCATGCCTTTCACTTAGAAAAACATACATATAGCAGAACATACCTACTGGGCCATTTTTTTCGTCATATGAATAGTTTTGTAAAACAAATTATTTAGTAGTTCTCTTTAAAAATTGATGTATCATTTATTTAAATGGGAACTGTAAATAATTTTAACTACAGCCATAAACAAATGCATAAGCTTTCAGAAAATGTATTATTTAACTGTTTTTGATATCTGGTTAATAAGTTTTACCTGCAACAATTAAGTTTTTAGTTTAGCAGGCACGCGTGATATTTTAACTGGCTAGGAAGTTGCCTTTCTCTGTTATCTATGTCTCTGCTTGCAGCAAATAACTCTTGAATTGGAAGAAAATATATCATTCAATTATAATCCAAAAAAAATTGAAAAGGTTCACATATATCATATATGCATGTATGAAAGTTTATAGGATATAGCTAGAGTACTGTATAACACTCTTATAAATACATGTATACTAGCTGTTCTTTAAATACCATTAGGTTTAAAATAAATTATGTGAAATACCCTTTATGTTGAATTTCGCTTAAGCCCGTACTAGGGAGGGGTCGTGGACGGTATTTGCACCATGAACAGGCCGTGGAACATGTGGAGGACGTAAAAAGTCCCCCGTACATATAATAAGTAAAGGTGTTATACATGTATTTTAGATCCTTACACTCCGTTCAGCACAAATATGCAGCGTGTACAAGATTGTGGTATTTTAGTTTCTTCTATTTGGCCTTTTTCAACTTAGATGGTTCCAGTATTTCTACATGAATAATGTACGTATAATCGAATAATCACCAAATTAAAAAGATTAGGATATCTTGCCTGCCTTTTGACGTCTTATCTGCGATATGCAGGCTTCATAACCTTTGATCCCCTTTCAAATTTCCATTTTGTTTAGCTCCACCCATTGTTTCCTCTCGTTTAGGACACACGCTTTCTTTTACTCGAGGACGCTTTTCATGGAATGGCACGAAGGTGTCACATTGAAGGTTCCATGATAACCGCCGTATGAACACATCTGCGGATGTTTTTAAATTCAAAATTTCATCATTTTCGCGTTTAAATTTTTAATTCTGCTTAAGCCGTTTCTAGGGGACATGGACAATAACTTACTCTTTCTCGTACCGTCCATGGACAGGCTCAATCAAACCAAGCCTGCAACATTGCCAATTCCGTCGTTTTAAGTGTTCTTTAGGGATTCCGTTTATCTCTATTTTACAGGAAATATACAAATAATGACACTCCAACGCTTGAACAAAGTGGGAGTATAGTAATTAATTGTCCTTAAGTAGACACACTGCCGTCTCTTCACATGATTGATTTGACAGGCAAACATGTATATGGAAAATGCAAATTATGATTTTACGTGATTTACATGCACATATAAACTCCTAGACGTTTAAGTGTTTGCTAGACAGCAGATTTATCCCCATATTTTATAGAATATGTTGCAAAAAGAAACAAAGCATATAAAAATAGAATTTACAATACATATTACGAAACAGTATTTTAATGCAAGATTTTATTTCGGTTATCCATGGCATTAAGTAGTTATTTGGCGGAATCAATTTATTCATCTTTTATATTTATTGAGAGCATAAATGAAAACTAAGTAATACATAATTGATTGTTTGAAATTACATTTAAGTAGTTTTCATAACAAAAAGAATGTTAAGATTTTGTGTAATATTGAAGTTTAGATGTACCATTTATTGTGTTAGACTTGGTTTGAATAAACGGATCCCTTAATTTATTTTTAAATAACCAGACGAATTTAAGTAAAAAATTAAGGGCTCTTTAATTGAATTTCTTTATATTCTGATAGAAAGTACATATAATTTGGTTGTCTATTAAGAAAGAACTTGATGTTTCTTTACGTAATCCCAAAATATATTTGACAAAAAAGTGATAAAATCAGCGTTGCGTCAAACAAACGATAGTCAAAATGAAAACGTGAAAAGGTTTTAATGAAAACATACAATATCAGTTGTATATTAATTTCTCAAACATTTATTTGTATTGACAAGTTATCATGTTGGGTTATTGATCGAATGAAGATAACTTCTTATCTTTGGACTGTACATAATTATAAACATTGTGGATGATGCTTTTATGCTACACAATAAAAATAAAATGCAACATAACAAACTTAAACGTCTCTTCGTGAAACCACAACAAAAACAAATTATCCTCCAGTCATATTTATTTGTAAAAGCTGTAAAATAGCAGCATTGTTACAAGACACGCACAGATTATATACCGAGCACTATTAAAATGAAAGACACAAAAAATGATAAAAACTATCACAGGTTTTTCAATAAAAAATGTGCCATTTCTGTTAATGAACCAACGGTATTCGTATTTAATTTACTATATACATGTAGTATCTATAATTATTCTAGTAAAATACATTTAAATTAATGATTGTATGGAAATAAAATAAAAACGAGTGAAAAATAGATTCTTTACAAAAATAAAAGAAGTAAGCATATATAAAATCAATTAGACAATGCAATATAGTAGATATGTAGCATGTAAAATATTAAACCACCAATTAAAATCAAGCTTATTTTTGATAGTTTTAATCAACTTAATAAATGACTGGCCATTTGTATGCATTCCATTCTCAAACATGAATACTAAATAATTAGCGATGCTAACAAGAACATTATCATTTACATAATTAAACTTTGAATAATAGCATGTACATTTTCAAAAGATTAAAAAAACAAAACAAAAAACAAAAGCGAATAAAGTTAGAGCAAACCAACGTTAAAAAGGGCAAATCAAGGCTTAAATGAAAGACCTTTTTAATATCCATTTCAATTGAAATACCATTGCTGAATGATTGTACCTAATTCCGCCGTGTCAATGCTTTCAACTTTGAAGACAACCTTGCTCCATTGCTTTGCTGACGGCAACATTTCACCATTACAAGTTTTTACGCAAACGCTTTTTATTGCCAATACAGGAAATTCCATCTTTCTATACTGAACAATTCCTCCTATCTTATACTTGTAGACACACATCTCATTGGCACAAAATGTGCTCCCACCTAAAATGACTCCGTTGGTTTTGTCAACATGTTTTGGTTGAAGTGATTGCGCCAACACGATTTTCTCGCGAATATCTCTAACGACAATATGGTGCATACCACATATTTTCTTTACATCATCTGAAGAGCATATAAAAGTACCGCAGTTTCCACAGTGCAGGTTAACTTTGTCATCAATAAGGACAGATCGTCGCTGTCTACTTTGGGCTTCTCTTTCTTCTTTTGCATACCTTTGCATCTGCAGGATTTCACCCTCCCATCTATTTCTGTTATGATCCATATGTTTCTTTAAAAAAGGTATCAATTCCACCATTAACTTTTCACATCTGGCGTTGTACTCTTCTTTCTCAATTAGGCTAGATCCTTTCTCCGTCAATACATAATACTTGCTATTTTGAGCACGTAATCGACCTAAAGTAAAACACAGTTGTATGAAACTTTAATCTTTTTTATATTATCATTTAATAGACAAAGCATTAATGTACATATGCAAAAAATATGCGTAGTTAATACGTAACAGTTTTCAATATGGCGTAAAAACTCTAAACAAACCATTATCTATGTCGTAGATGTAAACCATAAAACTTTACAGCATTTTGATTTGTATCGATATAAGTATGCTACGTACCTTTGCATTGAACTCTTGCGTTTTCATTGGTCACGTGTTCGTATTTTATGACAAGATTGCAGTTCCCTATATCTAGGCCTTCTTCTGCAACGGTTGTGGCTATTATTAGTCTATGCTTTCCGTTTCTAAAAAGCGCCAACACATCTTTTTGTATACACTTTGTCATACCTACAAAGACATAAATCAGCGTATAAGAAACTCGATAATAACCATCAGAAAACATTTATAACGAAAACATATATAAAATATAAAAGAATTTAATGATTAAGAAAACCATACTGTTACACAATTATTAACCACAACTTGGTTGACGTAGACATTGAACATACCGCCTTCGCCGCGTGAAACAACTTGTCCAAGGAACGCATTTGCATTGAGATGTTTTAACTCTGCTGTCTGATGCATCCACTTCTTTAGATTCTTTGCAAGTTCTCTCCTCTTTACGAAAATGATTCCTCGTGTATTTTCGTCATCTCCAATCGTACCAAGTACAAGTTCTTTAAGTTTAAGAAGCTTTGGGTTTTCAGGTTCATCACCATATGACGTTGACCTCAAATCTGAAAGAATGACATGATTGCATTTTTTAGAAAGCTTTCTCTAGACTTAATACTATTGAAAAAGTACAACGAATTTCGTGGTTTCTGTCGCCATTTTGTACATTTAGTGAATATATTTTAATTACTGCTTGTTTTTCATAACCATATATAAACTTTTTGTCATATTCAACCGAACAAGTTAGAAGAGTACTTTACCTTAACTTTTGTCATATTCAACCGAACAAGTAAGAAAAGCACTTTACCATAAAGAAGAATGCTATAAATCATAAATTCTAAATATACAATATAAACATTTGTTTGTCTAAACTAGACATGATACAGGACCAATCGTTATCATACCATCAAAAAGCTGCATAAGAAATTGATCTGCTTCATTGTGATGATCTGATTGTCGACGCTTGTCCACGAAACTTCCTAAACTGTTCAAAGCATCACATATTCTTGCATCTGTATATAGCAAAACTGCGTTGTGGTATTGCTGTATTAAGAATTCGAGAATGAAGTTCAATGTAGGATAGCAAATTTTACATATTGCAGCACCATAATATTCATCAATATCGGAAAGACACCTAGTTAAACACCGAGCAGGAACGGGAAAACAACCAGATTGGGCGGAACAGGGAGGCGGTGAATCAGTAATTTAACTAATCACTAATTTTAAACCAAACACAAACATAAGGTTAAGATGAAAACCTTAACGGTTTCAATGTAAAGGGTTGGAATTAAATCAAGGAAACGAACAGCGGAGTTAAGATAAGAAAAGGGGACTGCAGTCGTTATTACACGGGACAAGGTACACTTAAAACATCTAAGAACGCCACCACATAAAACAAATAACCGCAAACAAGACACACAAGAAAGGGTACTGAGGGACATCTCCTTGGTACGGACAGTAGCAAAAACAGTTAAATGTGCATCATGTTTCATTCTAAGCCTTACCATATTCCTTGAAAACAGGACAGTGTAATTAAAACGATGCAATCAACATATCCTATACCTAATAAAAAGGAATTGCTACATTTACACAATTTAGAAATAAGATACGAATTACGATGGGGGAAACAAAATAGATATACATTTATAGATATACTTCTGTATCATTTTCTTTTATCAAAAAGTTTGTTTGTATAAAAGGAACTACTACAGTGCATTATCATTACGTTATTTTACATTGTATTTAATTCATTTAGTTTTTGAAATGATTTATTATTGAATCATAGGACATTATCAAAAGTATTTAATGTAAACGCTTTACAACACAGTCAAACTTATTTGTTTGAACGTGTACATAGACGGCCTTAAAACAATAAGTCAGACTAATTTTGTCAGAGAAGATGCGCGCATTGTAACGAATACTTACGTCTATGTAATCTAGGCATGGGCTTAGTATTTGTCTAGCATTATCAGATTTCAAAACTGAAAGCCCGTATCTAAAGTCACTTAGCCACGACTGAAACTGAGGTGTTCCAACAGAGCTTGTTGGTACTCTGCTGACGGTTTTCATAAACTTTTCGCCGCCTTCTAACTGTGCCACATCTTGCAATAGAACATAAAACTTGACAAAAATCAAATTTTAAATATTGTAAGAAATCACTGTTGTCTGTCTTAAAAGAAAATACTGAGATGGTTTGTGTCCAAAATTGATATAAGTTAGAGAAGTTTTCTATATTTCAAACGGAAAATATATGAGAAAATGGTTAATTTTTATTTTGGCATCCATTCTACATGAAAAGAGAGTTATACCCTATTTGATTGTACCTAACACAAGGCTACAAATGCAGCAAATATGTGTTTTACTGATTAGAATATACATATGTGTATATAAAGAAATAAATTTTCTACTTGGATTGTTCGTCATGAACTTATCAATCTTCTCCAGTGCGTCTAGAATATCTTCATAGAAACGTTCTGATGATCTCCTTTCAACTTCCACAAACTCTAAAATCAAACATTTAAATGTTTACTTATTTAATAACCAATTATATGTAACAAAAATTACTATAAAAGTTTACTGGCTGAAAAGTAACTAAAACAAGCTTATTTCGAAACGATCAAAAATTAATGATATTAGTATAGTTTAAAGATTTTATTTGTATTTTGTTGCTCTTTTTAATTTATGTTCTTCTGTAAAGATGATAAGAATTGGTCTTTTAAACTGGTATACCTTCATCTGGATCATTTAGATATGCTTTCATTTCTGCAATATCGGCCTCACTGTCAACAGTACACAACACTTTCGTGTCCAAATTAGCTGCTATCAGTTTCATATTCTCAAACGCCTTGTTTCTGTCAAGTTTGCCCCCAACTCCAATAGAAGCAGTTAGACCGACTATCTAAAAATTAATGACGAAGAACATAAAATGATCATTGCTTGCCATTGATAACATAGACATTTAGTTACTATACGTGAAAAACAGATGCACTTATTGTTTCAAAGGAATATAAAGTTAGTTTTAGTGGTTTATGTCACAATTTTTGTTGAATTTTCTGAATTGGTAAATTGAACATGTTTAACATAGATATTCAAAAATGACAAATGTGCTTAAATGCGTTTGTATAGTAACCTTATAAATATAAACAGAACAAAAACAAAACAATTCAATTCTATTACAACAGAATAAAGGGATGTTGCTCTTTAAACAAAAAGAGAAAACAAAGGGAAGAGTAAACTACGTAGGTTTCGATATACATGCCCATATATCATCTTTAAATCCTTTCCAATTCCTTTAAGCAAGCCTTGTAAAGTACAAGACAAAACCATATGTAAAATAAACCACTGGCATAAAAATAACACTAACTTTATATTCCTTTGGAACGATTGCTTTTCATGTATTTCTTGTCAATATTTACTACATGTTTTTCATAATGAAAGAAAAAATGAAAAACAATGGTGACAGAAAAAATTTCAAACAGTTTTTACACACCTGTGGTAAAGCTGTTTCACCGTTTCCCAGACGTTGTTCAAAATAGTTGTCCATAATTTTCTTGTATGGATGTTTTTTATCGGCGTGATGACATTCGTCGAAAACGATAATGTCAAACATATTCAATTTACCAACATCTTTCGAATTCAGAAAATTCAACAAAACTTGTGCTGTAACTATGAAAATATCCCTCCTTAAAAATAGAAATAAAATACAAAAATGTACATATACTTTTATTATTAAAAGCTGCCTTACTTTTCTTATTAATAAAAAATCATTTAGTTTCATCTTAATTATGTTTCTTCTCTTTTCCTAAGTTTTAAGGCCTTAATAAAGAATTTGATTTATCCTTGGAAGGCAAAAGACAAACCTTTATTTAAAAAAAAAAGTTTAAATTATTAAGAGCAAGTCAGATTCTGGTCACACAAAGACATTAAACAAAACTTATAGATGGCCATATAAATGTGATATTGTGATGTGTCATAAACTTACCTAGATATAAAATCTTTAAGGTACTGATCTCTGCTTTGTTGGACATCACCTGTAACAACTTTGGTACGATAACCAGGCAGCTCTTCACAAAATACTTTCCCTTGCTGAATAGCTAGATCTTCTCTCTCTACAATGAAGGCGGCTTTACCCTTCTTTCCTTGGTATTCGCAATTTCTTAACACTGTCTGTCATATCGATTGATTGAAATAAAAGAATATGACATGATTTTTGTATACGACATGTATATACAATGGAAATGAATTAAAATTTAGTAAAATGTCAACATTACCTTTCTTGATTTATACTTATTTCATTTTCATAATCATAGATTTATGGTGGTTTCCGAATTGCTAAAATGACTTTTTTTAACAATATAGTTTTTACATCGTAATTATATCTTATTAAAACAAATTTCAAGCAAAATGAATATTTGTAGCTTATGCAGTAGCTTTTGCAGTGTCAACATAATTTAAAATCAAACAAATAAATCGTTTGGAATCCTTGTTTAAATAGTCAATGTACTAAACATGTACTAAACTCCATCCTTCTAAAAATGCTGTCTTTCTATAATTTTTACCGAAAGAATAAACTTACATGAACAATCTTGCATGCAACTTTAGTTTTGCCGGAGTTTGTTGGTGCCATGATTATAACATTATCTCCCTCACATCCTTGCTTTGCCAGTTTCATTTGATATCCACGGAGCTTGATTTCATGTTCGGCGACATTGGTTAGCTCGTCTTGATCTGTTACGAAAAAAGGTCTACTAGATTACAATCAATGATTGATATTATATTACCAAGACATTATTATATTGTCGTTAATGAGATGTGTAATAAATTCGTTTAGTGTAATTCATTATCTTATCATCATCTCATCATTATTCTGATACTTTTATAAATATGAAAAAAACAAAACAAAAAAAAAACAACAAACAAACAAACAAAAAAACACACACACACAATCTAATTGTATACTGGTATTTAATATTCAAACCTTAAATATCTTAAATGGACTTGTCCATCGTTCAATTTTGACAAAACCATTCATTATTTTTAGAGAAATTTTCACAAAATATTCACTGGCTGATTAGTGAACAGTATAGACCATAATCACACGACAAAGATTATACCTTGGTTTGCACTGGTCGCAAGAGTAGGTTCATTTGCTACCATTACGGTAAATGCTGGATTTAGTCTTTATGCAATCAAACACTTGGTATAGTAAAACAAATAAGTAATATGTGCAGATACAAACGAATGAAATTTACCCGTTGTTATATTCCATTCTCTGTAATAACTAGAGACGTCTATGTCTGATGGTCCTATATCTAAATCGTTAATGTTTAAGTCATCATCAGAATCCGAAGAATCATTTGTAGATGCTTCGTCCATATTTACAACAGGGACCTCTTTCTTGTCGTCTTTTTGTACAGCTTTTTGCTTCAGCTCAGTTATATCATCATCGAATTCTTCTAAATTATTGTAGTATGTGATGTGGCTCTCACTCACGTTGCTTTCAGCAGTATTTAAATTATTTTGATCATCTGCAATGTCCCCTTTGCTGTTGACGTTTTGTAATTTAGTATACCCATCCTTTTCTGGTAAAGGAATGTTTTTAATCTTTGTGTCTACAGAGACGTCATGGTGAACTGCAATGTATATAGATATGTTTCATAGATTCCATCTCTTATGTCGTATCAATTCTAAGAAATGTTTTTATTAAAATGGAAAAAAATATGAAATATGTAAGAAATAGGTATAACTCATTTATAAAATACTAGTATTATGATATATGGCAAAAACGACAGGTGTCACAGCTAATGTTTTATTATTGTTTTAAATCATGTAAATGTTATTTCATTTTGCCTCAAAGAATGGCATAGTTTCAAATATATTGCACAGTAGAAGACATACTATTTTGAATATGTTCTTTAACATCGTTACATTGTTTTTCTTCATAAGTGTTTTCGTTGTCAGGATTGTAAGATGCTTGTGCTTTTATTTCTGCAAACATATTTGAAAAAAAAAAAAACAACTCAATGTTATGACTTGTTAATAAGGTGTTATAAAAAATAAAATCAATGGCATTGCTCTAAATGACATAAGTCTAAGGATTTTAATAGGAATATGTAAACTGCTTACTGCATTCATGAAAATATACAACATATTTTATTACAAAATAAGGTAGTAAGGTTGAAACAGCTATTCTCCCAAGATGCAATCAAATTATTTTTCGTTGTAAAACAATTCATTTTTTTTGATATAATTGAATATGTAAAAATCCGAATATTCAGCTCTTTAACTTGCAACATTTGAAACTGTTTTAAGTATTCATATCTGTAACCAAAATTTAGATATAAATATGTTAGAAAGTTCTTATTGAAACAGTAAATAATCGCACAAATTCGTTTATTTTATAAGTTTCATGCAAAATAATGACAGCTTACTCTGAACCATGTCGTCATCCAATATCTGGGCCAAATGTTCGCAGCTATTCTCAATCAGCGATGTAAGGAAATATTTGAACCAATCTTCTACATGTCTATGTATATTTGTAATGATGTACCACGCAGCTCTAGTTTTCCCGTAATTTTGTTCATCTTTTACCGTCTCCTCGGCCTCTAGCGCCGTAAGAACATTATACTTTCTAAGAGAAAGTATCAATTCTAGTGGCTGTATCTCGTTGATGACCATTGTAGCAAACAAGTTCACAATTCTTCTATAGTTTTCATCACATTTAACAACTTCCCCACAGAGAAGCTTGACAATTTTTGGATAATCTGTAATATAAGAGACCAAAAAGCAATACATAGATTTCTTTCGACACATTTAACAACTTCCCCATTGAGATGACTGACAATTTTTGGGTAATCTGTAATATATGATACCAAAAAGCAATACATAGATTTCTTTCGTCACATTTAACAACTTCCCCATTGAGATGACTGACAATTTTTGGGTAATCTGCAATATAAGAGACCAAAAAGCAATACATAGATTTCTTTCGACACATTTAACAACTTCCCAATTGAGAAGACTGACAATTTTTGGGTAATCTGTAATATATTATACCAAAAAAGCAATACATAGATTTCTTTCGTCACATTTAACAACTTCCCCATTGAGATGACTGACAATTTTTGGGTAATCTGTAATATAAGAGACCAAAAAGCAATACATAGATTTCTTTCGACACATTTAACAACTTCCCCACTGAGATAGACTGACAATTTTTGGGTAATCTGTAATATATGATACCAAAAAGCAATACATAGATTTCTTTCGTCACATTTAACATCTTCCCCATTGAGAAGACTGACAATTTTTGGGTAATCTGTAATATATGATACCAAAAAGCAATACATAGATTTCTTTCGTCACATTTAACAACTTCCCCATTGAGATGACTGACAATTTTTGGGTAATCTGTAATATAAGAGACCAAAAAGCAATACATAGATTTCTTTTGACACATTTAACAACTTCCCCATTGAGAAGACTGACAATTTTTGGGTAATCTGTAATATATTATACCAAAAAGCAATACATAGATTTCTTTCGTCACATTTAACAACTTCCCCATTGAGATGACTGACAATTTTTGGGTAATCTGTAATATAAGAGACCAAAAAGCAATACATAGATTTCTTTCGACACATTTAACAACTTCCCCACTGAGATGACTGACAATTTTTGGGTAATCTGTAATATATGATACCAAAAAGCAATACATAGATTTCTTTCGTCACATTTAACATCTTCCCCATTGAGAAGACTGACAATTTTTGGGTAATCTGTAATATATGATACCAAAAAGCAATACATAGATTTCTTTCGTCACATTTAACAACTTCCCCACTGAGAAGCTTGACAATGTTTGGGTAATCTGTAATATATGATACCAAAAAGCAATACATAGATTTCTTTCGTCACATTTAACAACTTCCCCACTGAGAGGCTTGACAATTTTTGGGTAATCTGTAATATATGAGACCAAAAAGCAAAACATAGATTTCTTTCGTCACATTCAACAATTTCACCTTATCAACTTATGAGCTTGATAATAATTGGGTAATCTGTAATATAAGAGACCAAAGGCAATACATAGATACAACTTGTATGATACTTGAAATTTTGTGCGCAAGTTAAATTGGTCTAGACTTACATCAAATTGAACACTATTATCCAAAAGTTATTTCCAGTCCCGTAATGTCTAAAAAAAACCTTTCGTTAATGTTTTTAGTCTATCAATTTTCATGAAATGATTTAAATTTAAAATCAAGCATTCTTTAATGATTTTTAATAATGTAAACTTTAGATACGAGTATTTTTAATTTTCAAGAACAACAATCTGTAAAAAAAATTGAATAATCAGAGGAAAAGAAATTATTGGCACAAATAAACATATACATGTATTTTAAAGGGCTATTACCGTCCTACGAATAAGTATTACATAAATTATAAATAGATTTATTCTAAAAATAATTACCTTCCTCCAATGCCTGCAATAACGCTGTAAAAAGTCCCGGTGAGTCCTTGTTCATCAACGTTTTAAATGCTTTTTGAGTCGCACGAACTGGATTTTCTCTAACTAATTGCTTTATTTCCTGTCTTTGTTCTATTCAAACAAAGCATGAGCAGATTAAAAAAATTGATGCATGTAATTCATTTCCCGAAGAATTAATGAAAATAACATTTTATGCTAGAATAAGATCTCAATACATGTAACTAAATGTTAAAGAAAAATAAAAATAATCATTGATCGAAATAAAGTTCTAATAGTCTTTATACAAAAAGAAAGATTGATAATTTCATGAGATCACAAAAAACTATGAATTGTATCATTTAAAAAATGATTGCAATATATGCATATCGTTTAAATTCGAATGTTGTGGTTGTTACATGAATAATTAATGGTTCTTAATTAATTTAAAACACTACATTGTTGAAGGAGTACATTTGTTAAAGCTTTTTTCGCCGATTCTTACATTTTTCATTCATTATCGTAAATAAATCGGTGTGAAGAGATGAATTAGACATTTTAAAATTCAATTCAGAAAAGTCGAAATTTTAGCATTTAAGCCTGTCAAGAGCCTTGTTTTGTATATACCGGAATACGGTATTCAGTGTGGTGCTCCAACACTTTTTTTCTAGTCTCACTCAAAGAACATACCGCCAGTGAAATAGTCTAGGTTAAGTAGTAGATCCTTGACGTCCACACATTCGCAGATATAGGGTAGATAACTCTCCAAATTGTATTTTATATGGGAGTCCCTTGAAATAGTATCCTCTTCCATTTTATCCCGCCTGAAATTTTTAAGCGTGATTTCATTAATTATATTGCAATTCATATACATGGAAATTATCAACAGATTGCTTTGCTTAGACAAGATACAAGTTTTCTTTTTATCGTAGAAGCACTAAAATCCGCAAATACAGTAGAACTTTTGAGTCGAACTTCGATAAGTCGATTTTCTCGATGTCTCGAAGTAAAAATAAAGTCACGATCCCCCCATCCCTATATATTCTGTATATGCGTTTTTATTGCTCAAAGTTTATGTGCGACACATTGAATAACATTAATAACATAACTTAGGCTGCTCTAGTTTGATTACATTTCAATGCCAACAAAGAAAAGATAGATGCCAGCATAATGCTCTATATTTTGTGTACTGGTTCGAGGTTTGATAATTTGACGTTTTGATTACATTTTAATACCAGTATAGGCAAGAAAGAGTGTTGCATAATGTCTGCTCTATGGTTTGAGCACTGTATAGTCCAAATTAATCTATTTTGTACATTTACGACAGATACGCCCGGCAAACTGTCGTTCCACTTCAAAATTGTGGTGTACGGTAAAACGAGCGAACGGCATTTCCGAGATAGAGAGGAAGGCCGATTTAAACGCCTAATTGTAAGTATTGTTTATGTTTTTGTCTTGTTATTCATTTAAGTTGTATTTTTTCGAAAAACGGGAAATGTAGTTCCGTGTAGGATTGATTTAGGCTTCCAATGATCTAAGCTGTTACAAAAAGAAAATTATATCAAGCCCGGGAGAACTTTTCTCCCTGACGAAGCGAACGATGATTTGTAGAACATTGAACTTCCCAACCATAGAAATGCCATACGTACCCTTCAGATTTCTTGAAAAAGTGTATTAGTAAATTATCAACCCGTAATAAGAACTTGTCCTTCATGCAAAATAAATTACTCCTGAAGGATTACTTAAATTTGTAAATCGATATTTTTCGAAAGTAGTGGAGCGAAAGGGCAAGAGATGGAGCAAAAGGTTCGATGTTGAGCGCAAGGCGATATTAATTTGACGTTTTAGGAGGAGCGTAGTCTATGATTGTTTATATATAAAGCTATAGAATTTAAAATAGACATGATCAAGTGTTAAGACCGAGATAAATATACCTTTAAAGACAACTAATAAAGTGTGATATCCTTAGCGTAATAAATGTAATCGCGAAGGTGTCACATATGGCTGCCGTGTAGATTCCATTATTTATGTTCGAAATTTGGATTAGGCCCGACCATTGAATCATACACATGTATGCATGGCATAATACAGTATGCCACTTATTCGAGGTCAATCATGATTTTTCACGGGGTTATGTACATTTAAAAACGTGTGTCCGTGCAAATTCGACAAAATCGAATATTTTCAGTTCTACCGCGAACAAATGTTTCCGAGCAGGTACGTGTAACGCGATTGTTCACGCCAAAATGTTATGTTTTTCGAAAAGTTAGATATTCAAGGTGCAGAACAGAAACAAAATTATGCAATGCATGGAACACATTAAATTAAATGGATCACTACTACCGAGTTCAGTTCACAATAACATTCTGTCATTAATAGCTCTAACGTACCTGTTCAGAGCAAATACAAATAAGCCACGTTTTCATGAATTTGTATGGTGAGGAATCGCTATGAAAATGGTGGACAAGGTGTCAGTCGTTATAAGGATATAACACGTGTTTCAGATATGTTTCAAGATACTTCCTCCCTTATTTAGCATTGTTGTTTAGTTTTTTATTTTCCTCTTAAAGTGTAAATAGAAATGCTTACTTTTATAATCAAACACTGCAGTACAAATCTCGGTTTAAGAAAAAATTAAGTTAAAATAAATATCTAAGATTTTGTTTGTTTATCTATGAACAAAACGAACGTAATAAAAAAGGCAGAGCTCAGTCGGTGTACGGACTAAAAGTATCAATAATATAATAGACCTAATTATAGTAGAAATTTCTATTTATAATATCGCCTTGCGCTCAACATCGAACCTTTAAATTTGCTCCATCTCTTGCCCTTTCGCTCCACTACTTTCGAAAAATATCGATTTACAAATTTAAGAAATCTTTTAGGAGTAATTTATTTTGCATGAAGGACAAGTTCTTATTACGGGTTGATAATTTACTAATACACTTTTTCAAGAAATCCGAAGGGTATGGCATTTTTATGGTTGGGAAGTTCAATATTCTACAAATCATCGTTCGCTTCGTCAGGGAGAAAAGTTCTCCCGGGCTTAATATACTTTTCTTTTTGTAACAGCTTACATCATTGGAAGCCTAAATCAATCCTACACGGAACTACATTTCCCGTTTTTCGAAAAAATACAACTTAAATGAATAACAAGACAAAAACATAAACAATACTTACAATTACGCGTTTAAATCGACCTTCGAATCCGCTCTATCTCGGAAATGCCGTTCGCTCGTTTTACCGTACACCACAAGGCGTGGACAGATAAACACTTTAATACAATTAACTATGTTGCTTCTTTTCTAAATAAGTTGGTTTACAGAATTAACATCATTAACTATGTTCGTTTTCATGATTTTATAAACCCTGTTTTGCAATTTTATGCGAATCCTCACGGAATGAGACATACAAATAGTTAATAAGATAATGTTTCTTTATATATCATATACATGTATAGAAGTAAAATGTACGCTGTTTATACATAGCTTGATTATGTGTATAATTGCTCTCTAAATATAGGGAAAATAAAACATCTGTGTAATCAATCTATAAAATCATAACGAGGAGCGAGCGTTTATGATTTCATGAATCAGTTATCATATTGGTCACTGAAATGTGCATTGGTTAAAAAAAAGTCACCGGTATAACCCATTTTGGTTTAATTCCCATATATGCAGACGAAATTGAACGGTAAGTTTACAATTTTGAGCGGTTTTTTTTTTTTTGGTCGCAAATGGGCTGTTTTATCTAGAGTCAGTGTTTCCCCAACCTCCCAAATTGTTTTCATTTATTCTGAAAATACACGCACAGGGAGAAAAATAAACATAAACAATTGTTTGCAAACGGATAAAGTATTGACATGTGGTGAGGTATATATCAAGAAACTTTAACAGGAGAGGACTTAAACGAAGAGTAAAAGTGTGAAAGGAATCAAAGGATATAATATAGATTATTTCTTAGTTGAAAAGCTTATATTCCTTTTGATCTTTTCCCTCGGAACCGCCCATTTTTCCCAAAAGAACACACAAATTTCTTTACTACAAATACATGAAATGACATATTATATTCTCAAAAAAAAAAAAAAAAAATAACAATAAAAAAATAAAATAAATAAATAAATGATAGCATCCATTCACAATACTATATATAAGCTATATAAGGATTGAATATAATTTTGTTTCTTTATCAATTATTGTCCATACTTACAAAAATGATTAAAAAATGCAAAAGTTACCATCTTATTTCCTGAAAATGACGTCCTCAGTTAAACCAACATATATAATTATTTCCTTTTTTTTAAACCGATAAACTACACCTTTTATGACAGGGTTAGGGTGTTAAGTTCGACTTGCCGTGGTTAGACTATAATAGTGACGTCACGACTTTACTCTGGTCGAACCCTCACCATATACGGGTCTCTGTGGTTCGATCACTGAAACTGGACATGCGCAGTGCTCTACAGCCAAACAATAGTGTGAAGTTTGCGTTTGTTTATTCGTAAATGATATCTATAATTTGATTGATATCGTAAACATATTTTGCATGATAGTTTTATGTCTAGATTATAACATAATATACATTTTATAACTATTGGTTATGCTTACCTGACAATTTCAATCCAAACTTATGTAATGCGTATTAAGGAAATTCCCATTTGATAACTGGGTTTCCTAAAAATCTCAAATTAATCATTTCTAAAAATTGAGATCTTTCTGGAGACATTTAAATTTAATGAAATAGTATGTAAAATTTTTCTTTCATTAAATTATTAACTAAATGCATGTTAATCAAGAAAAAAAGACAACTGATGGAGTCTAATGGCAAATTAGCGTATTTCAGAAAATCAAAACAGAAAGTAGAAGTCTGGAAAACCCATTTTGAGTATTGATTGAATTTCTCAAGGCCATTCAAATTTTGTATATAAATATATTTAACAAGTGGGTCATACCATGCACGCGCATCCTCAAAATTCTGATTTTCAGTCGGTATTTTGAATAAAAGCGAGTCATGTAAAGCAATCAAGACACCCGGTTAATATTTTATTTAAAATAATGACCCCTGGTCATAATATTATGACCGGGGAGTCATAATATTATTACTCCCCTACACGTAGAAAGACCCTTGCATAGAATAGTGACCCCCTGTAGGATAATGACACCCCCAACCCAAACTTAAAAGCCCTTACTAGACTCCTTCAAAGAAACACTGTCAATATGATTATCTCAGATGTGAAATATGGTAATGTCACTTGTCCGTGCGTGTGTACGTGCGACCGTGCAAAGGTTCGACTGAATCTTTTCACTGCTATTGGACGGAATTTTTTCAAGGTATTACAATCGAAGCCCAGGCTCAGTCTGTATTTTCTACAAATGACAACGGCTAGGGATATGTCATTCGACTGCAGTCCTTGCTTGTTCTTATAAGCTCGACTTTACGAAGTATATGGAGAGCTGTCCTACTCGCCCCGACGTCGGCGTCCAGATTTGAGATTGACGTTTTGGTGCGGTAAAATATTTTTCACTATAACTTTTTCATTTCTTAAGGTATCAACTTCGAATGTATGTTCCTTATCATCAACCACATCTTATATGAAAAAGTTCATAACTTCAGTACAAATATTTTCAGATTTATTTCCTCTTAAACTTAGAATTTTCCAGGAAAATAATTTAATTGTTACTTCTTTATTTCTTAAGGGATCAACTTCATAATTCAGATATCTATTTCTTATCATTAACCACATCTTATGTGACAAGGGTCGAACTCTAGCACCAATATTTTCAGATTTATTTCCCCTTGAACTTAGAATTGTCCTTAAAAATTATAAATTTTTACTGTTACTTCTTTTTTAATTAAGGAATCAACTTCAAACTTCAAATATATGTTTCTTATCATTAACCACATCTTATGTAACAAGGTTCATAACTCTAGCACTAATATTTCAAGAATTATCTCCCCACGAACTTTGATATTTATTTACTTGAAAAATGAGTTTTTTTACTTTAACTTCTTTAGTTTTAAATGTTTCTACTTCGAACTTCAAATCATCAACCACATCTTATGTTGCTAGGATTATAACTCTTTAAGCAATATTTTCAAATTTATCTCCCCTTATACTTAAAATTTATATTTCTTAATATTTCTTTGAGAACTATTATAACTTTTTTAAACGTATCTACTTCAAACTTCAAATATATATTTTTATCATTACCCATATGCTGCGTGACAAGGTTCATAACACTAGCGTGACTATTTCCAGATTTATTCCCCCTTGAACTTGGAATTTATATTAACAATTTGTTTACTATAACTTCTTGTCATATTGATAATAGTTATAAAACGCAAGGTCCTGTATTCCCAGAATTATCTCCATTTTATTTTTAATTGTAAATATTTTTAGTAATATCTTTGTTATTATAAATGATATTTACTCTAGACTTATGGTAATTAATTGTTCTTTGTCATTACTCACATCATGCATGTCAATGTTCATAACTCTAGCATCTTTTTTCAAGAGCTATTTCCTCTTTGAACTTATAATTTTTACTTTAAAAACTTCAAATTCTTTTTTTGCTCTTATCATTTTTGTTTCTGAAGGGATTGACTTCAGATTTCAAATTACTGTCTTTTCCATTATAGCATAGAAATCATGTCTGTTTAACATTTATTGACAATGTCGTATGCATATTATGTTGTGCAAAAAATAGAACATTTGAGTGTTATCTCTTTATACTGATACAGAGAGATATTTATATCATAACTGATTTTCCTTCATAGTTTTGTCTTCCTTACTTCCCAGTATTTAATTAGTCGAGCTTCGCTGTTTCCTGTGACAGCTCATGTTTTTAACTTACGATTTATATGCTCAAAGTTTATAAAGCTATTAGGGAATCCATCTCATCACTTCGCGCCTAATTTGAGGGGTATAATATATGACTATCTTATTGGTCACAAAAATATAGAGGATTTTTGACTTCACTTAAATTGCTGTCATTTTACAAAGTCCTTTTCCCTGCCTCAAACGGCTTTAACAATAAAATGAAATATTTTGCCATCAGTTACATTTTTGAAATGAGACCGGGAGCCACTTTTTTTTTTATTTCAGACCAGATCACCGTTTCCAGTTTCAGAATGCTTACATTACACTGAACACATGGTATATATATAATGCTAATATGCCCTCTTAATGAGAAAGCATGTATCAATAGCAACATCAACCGAAGTCGGTATAGCTCTATTTTAAAAGATGCGTTATGTAACCGCAATTCAAATAAAAGTGTATTAAGGTATTTTGTCAGACCGACATTATGCTGGCCGAAAAAAGAAAAAGAAAATATATTGCACTGATAGTTGGTATTCATAAACAAGGACCACTTTCCTTCATTTTGTGCGACTCAGATATTTTATTTTTCTTTTATTAGCAAAAATTAATGACACATTGAAGTATCTGGAGTTAAAAGGCTTATTTTCTTGGGGCATTAACTGTGAAAACAACATTCGAGAGCCCTTACATAGACATTAAAGTAACATGACTGTCTTGTACAGTAAGTAAGTAAGTAAATATTTTATTATAGTGACATGTGTATGACAGTTTACAAATAACGAAATTAAATAATTTAACATAACACCCGGCCCAATGGACCAATAAGTCACCTGAAACATATATACATTATAAATAGTTCACATGAAATTATTATACTGTACACATCATCAATATTACAGGATAAATATTTCAACGATTAAATAAGGATTTCTTTCTTTTACAATAAGCATTAACAAGGTATTTAGCTACTTTTCGTGGAAAACTTACAACAAGATATTTCATTTTCATATCATCGTTCATGCTCATAAAATCTGTACATGTAAGGCGAAATGTCATTATTTATGACGGACGCTAAATCGATTCTTTAAGTTTACCATAGACGATTTTGTCGATTGAAAACCACAAACGACTTAAGCAGGTATTTTGTTTGTGTTTTTTACCTATATCGTGCTTTTTTTTATTTTCTTTTTATTTTAGAAATAATATATCCCCAACAGTGATTTTATCCCTAAAAAATCATTGTTTGGTGTATGGATGCGAGAAATTATATCACGAGGACGTAGGCAGAGTTATATAATATTGCGCAACTATATATGGTGGCTGATTCGTGTTTTTTTGCCCGCGATCCCGCCAAGCGAAAAGTCGAGAATAAACAAGTTAAAATGGCGGGGGCGCGGAGCGAAAACACGTTAATTAGCGAAGGCGCGGGTGAAGTTAAATAAATAAAACTTCGACCCGCGTGTTTTCAATAAAACTTCGCTCACGCTCTCGCTAATTAGCGTGTTTTCGCTCCGCGACCCCTCTCTTTTATCTTGTTAATTCTCGACTTTTCGCTTGGCGGGGTCACGAGGGGCAAAAATCAGCCACCATACGGAATCTAACGGCAAACAGACACTTTATCAAGCGATGTAAAATCACAGAGTTGGATATATTATTTCGATTCTAACGTGATACCAACAAATAGATGCTGCCGTACCTGATATAAAGCTAGATTGGGCCTAATTTGTTTCCGTACTTATTTTCAGCACATCTACTTATTTTCAGCACATTGTATTTTTACGTCATATGTCTAATGGTTACGTCACATGTCTAAATAAAGAACGTCAACAGTGATTTTATTGTATAATATCCATCTATGTTCAATAGGTAGAAATGCGGGTCTTGTTTAAATATTTCTCAATTAACAAAACGTCAAACCAACCATTTTGCACATTTGTAGTTGGTTTGTGTCTACAAATAATGTAATTCGATCAGTCATTTATCTTCTTAAGCTGACTTGAATTATGCTGAATACAATTCCGTGTAAAACTTTATGTTATCAAGTAGCTCTATGTTAATGAAATATAACATTCATTAAATTGAAATGTAACGAAGCAAAACATCTAATTATGTGTTTCAAATGACTTTTCCGGGGTCAGTACATTTGCGAAACGAACGTTATATCACTCTGCCTTTACATTGTATAATTGAGTAAGAGTGCAGCTCGTAGAAAATTCAGGTGATAAATGTTTGCTCAATTCCGGATTGCTCGTCCAGAGGGAGGCATTTTGAAGGTTAATGTAAGGGTTCAAAATATTTATCAAAATAGTTTGCTGGTAAGAAACAAAGGAATAATGTATCATCAACTCGTTTTTTTTTTTATCTTTGTTTATTATTAATTTCATAAAACAAGTGGCAATACGTAAATACCATATATCTAAATGAACGTACATTTTGTTCATTTCAGGAATATAAAAAGTACGTTGAACATTTTTTTTTACCGAAGTGGCATTCCGAACCTTCATGTATCGCATGCGTTGTTTCCCTTTTATCTACATTGTGTTTTCTCCTATGTTTTTTTTTATGAGAAACTACTTAAATTTTATGTGTTGCTTAGAATATACTTTCATTTTGAATTCAAATTTGGTAGGGTGCCAGTTAATCCTTGATAGTATGTTTAACATGTTATTCTTTTACAACTTTTCACAACTATATCCTAGTACACAAGAAATACTATGTCAAAGGAAAACATTTTACGAATTCGCTAGCCTATTGTCTTGTTTAAGTCTAAGATTTTCTGTGTTGGATGAAGCCTTAAAAACATCTAGACATTTATGAAAATACAAAATATATGATAAGATTTGACAAGAGGTATCTGGATAACATGCATATATTACACAGAAATAAAATTGATAAAGTAAATATTTTGATTTTTATTATTTGTTGACAATTGTCAGACAACATGTGCTTACAATTGCTTACAACATGTACGTGCAGTATTTAAGATCCTTTTTACAATC